GGTCCGATTTTACTAACATTCGACCAGTTTTATACATGGGGTTGTATTCTATGTTTGGGCATACTTCAAGGTTGGTCCGATGTCCTTAAAATGCAGAGTCTGATGTTGAGGACATCAGACCTGGGCTGGCATTAGACACATACTAAAGTTTGCCAACTTTTGGTAGTTTCTTCCATAGATCAATATTGCAATACATGTCAAAACCCATTTAGTTGTACCCCTTGGATCCCACCCTACCCCACCTCATGCAAAAAAATAAAACGAAAGGTATATGCGCAAGTTGAGGGCATGAACTGGTGGTCTGAGGTCATGAACCTCAGACCTCTCTCTATGTGGCCTAAAGCCACAAAATTAGCAGTTGAGGTCCCTAACCTCGGATTGTTATCTCTGTGGACCAAAGCCGCAAGTCCCCTGGCCTTGAACCCGTCCTAAAGTCACAACCCTACATTTGAGGGGAGAAAAAACAGTAATTTGAACTAGTATGATTTTCCTAACATCAGACTGAAAGGCAAAATGGGAAAAATAAAAAACACGAGCCAACCGACCTTCCGCATAATATTTGCATAAAAAAAACCTTTTTGGTATTTTCCCATTTATTTTTGTGCTTGTACTGAATTGTGCCTCTTAAAGCAGTTGAGAAATATTGACAATGATTTTTGGATATTTTAAAATAATTTTTGGAATTTTTTGGGTAAAAATTTCTCTATAAATAAAAAAATTAAAAAATAGCACCCAAGGACACAAACCATCCGTCCCAAATGTCCAATGGGCCCCATGGCCATGTCCACATGGTTGTTGATGTCAACACCATGTTAGCCATATGCTGGCGTCCCCCCTTGTGGGGGTTGGTTTGTCATTTGTGCATTTGTTCCTATGGTTCACATGTGTATCTACTCCCACATGTATGTATGTCAGTATGTGCTCTCGCGTGTGTGTGCGGTGTGTGCCTAGTGTAGTCAAGCTTGATATTTCCCATGGTTTAAGGAGCTCAAACTAATTAGAAGAGAGATCTAAAAGTTTCTCCTGAGTTGTTAATATCTCATTGATCACGCATGAGGGTATGTCACTAAGTGTGCCATATGATACAAGTGTATGAAGATGATGAGATGTAGTAAGAGAAAGCTCCTTAGTTTTAATTTCAAATTTGATTTCTTGAGTGACGAAAAGAGTAGAGATTCGAGGGGCATACCCCTCACTTATTTTTTACCTCACACAATTATGGAAAACCATGTGCAGTTATGAGACGAAAATATTATGTATTTATAAAATTAAGAAAAATGAGAAATATTTAATTATTCTTTTACATAGGGGTATAAAGGTGGTGAATCTCAACTACACATTTTTGATAGCTAATTATGCGGTTGAAAGGCTAGGATCAAACTTTTCTCCAAGCCATCCATACTCATGATGTTTGGTACTAAGTTAATCTAATACATAGGCCAACTCAAAACTCTAACTCTCTCATTCAATGTTGTCAGATTCGCTTTAGAGTCTTTTTCAGTTTGGTTAGAAAAATGAAGCAATTCAGTACTTCTGCTTATTCGAGGGAATACTTCAGCCTTTTTAAAAAAAAAAAATTTTATATAAATAAATTAGATATTTATATATAAAAATATATAAAATTAAATAAAAAAACTTAAAAATAAAAATTTTCAAAAAAATAAAAAAATAATTTTATATAGATATTTCTCTGCTTAGGCCGAAGAGGCCGAAGCATGCCCAAATCTAATCAAAGCGATAGCACTAGGCTTCGGCCTCTTTGGCCACCAAAGCGAAGAGAATTTGACAACGTTGCTCTCATTATATATACTCATGAATTCCATATTAGCAAATACATCAAAAATACATTGTTGATAACACCACCCAATGTTTATCTCTTTGTAGATTAGGATAAGATAAAGCTCTTTGTAATTTGAATAAGATTAGTTTGTTGTATAGGATAAGATAAAGTTGTAACAAGTAGTTGTAACAAATTCCTATTTTGAAGGCCACAATACGTACATACGCGTTCAAATACTTGTAACAAATTCCTATTTTGAAGGCCACAATACGTACATACGCGTTCCTCTAAGTGAATGGTGTGAAATACATTTTTCATTAGTTAACATGGTATCAGAGTGATGAAATCTGTTGGCATTCGCAAAAGTATTCAGTTAACCAGGTGAGAGTGATATTGGAGTGGCCATTGATTTCTCAACATATAGCAAGAGTGCAATCAGTTGGGCTTCTGACAATTTAATGGAAAATGTATTTCCCCCCATTCACGTGGGGGAAACCCCATATATTTATACAAGTGTTTGAACGCGTATGTAGGCGTTGTAGCTTTCAAAATAAGAATTTGTTATAACTACTTGTTACAACTTTATCTTATACTAATCTCATTCAAACTATAAAAAAGCTTTATCTTATCCTAATTTACAAAGAGATATACATTGGGTGGTGTTATCAACGAGGTAGTTTCAATATATTTTCTAACACTTCAAACCTTAAGGCACTCTTATAGAGACTAACGAAGCCCAAACATGTGGTCCTTGAGGAGTTCCTAAGAGAGAGAGAGATGGGGAGAGACATACTCCCTTTTATAGTTAAGGCCTATTAAAATGGCTTTTTGATCCTCAAGGGAAGGCCATCCTCAAGGGAAGGCCACCAAATGCTCTTTTGATCCTCAAGGGAAGGCCATTGTTTAATAGTTAAGGCCTATTAAAATGGCTAAGGGCTCGAGGCCCTTCTCTCTCGCTCATAGGGTATTGTGCTTTTTCTCTCAACGTATAAGAACTAAAAAAGAGGATAAAGAAGTTACCCTCCAATTGTTCAATGCAAGGGCTCTCTTGCACACAGACACACACATGGACCTATATACTCGCACCGTACATATAAGACAAAGAGAAAGAAGGTGACCTCCAAATGTTTGATGTGAACCCCCCGCCCCCCCCGCCCCCCACACCACCCCACCCCACCCCACCCCAATTGACAAACTCATGTTCTCTTTCTACATGTGAAAAAGAAGAAAAAAGAAGAACATGTCCTCTAAGTGGTCGATGTGAGACCTCTCTATCACATGCACATGGACGCGCGTGCATGCACACACACACCAAATGCCCTCCGAACTCCTAGTAGTTATCGGGCGCCCGCCTAGGCGACCGCCTTGCTGTCTAGGCGGCTGTCTCCGCGTGTTGGAACATTGCTCGGGGAGGGGAGGCGGTTGCGGTTTCATCCTTATCAAAGCCTTTTTCCAACTAATTGGGGCCATCTGCACGAATCCTTATTCTCCATTTTGCTCTGTTAAGGGCTATACTCTCAATAAGGCCATAACTCCCCATATATTTTCTCTCTACTTCCAATCATGTCCTTTTGGACCTACTTCTTGCCCTTTTTAAGTCTTCCACCTGAAGTAACTCGCACCTCCTAATAGGTGTGATTTGTTTGATCTAATGAAGTGTGACTATGTGGGAGGAGGGTTGTGGATTTTTAATTTGTACCTTCAAAAAGCAGTTTACCTAGAAAATAAGAAAATGGCAGTTGAAGTTGAAAATTTCTTGGATGTCTTGTCTACTATTAAAAGCTTTCTAAGAGTTTGCACGGCCAGTTCTCTACCTAACTATGAGGTCCTGTTGTAGTGTGATATCGCTTCTTCCGAGAGCTTGGGGCTGGTGTTCTATTGTAGTTAATTCATAACAATATGTTGCCTAAAAAATGCACCTGGAATTGTCTCTTTTTATCTGTTTACTATCTTTACAACCATGTGCATTTATGTGGTAATCCTAAAGTGTGAATAAATTTATATTTGCTGTCATCTTTTGGAGTTGCTCTGGCACTAGTTTTCACCTCTCAATGGTCCCTCAGGCCACATTGTAAACGACAAAAATAGTTGTACGCATTTGTCATAAAATTTTCACTATGGACAGATGGATATCATGTCCTCACAAATTACACACGGACTTCTATCATTTTGCAACAAAATCCATTCTTGTTGCATACAGGAATAGCTGAAAGTGGTGATGGAATCACAGTTTTGTTATTCTGCTATCTTAACGAGCATCATCATCATTAGAGTCTTTTCCCAATTAATTGGGGTTGGCTGTACGAATCATGATATGCCATTTTACTCTATTAAGGGCTTGTTGTCTTAACGAGCAGGGTGAGGATCTTAAACTTTCCCAAGCCCGGGTAAAGGAGGTGGGTTGTGTTAGGTAGGCAGCTAATGTAGAACTTTGTCAAAACTTTTCCATGAATCCCGAGTCTACATTTTTTTTTTTTTTGATAATCTGAGTTTACAATATTTGCTGTCTTAACGAGCACATGCATTTATTTCATATTCCTAAAACTATAGACATATACGCGAAGTGTTGGATTGTGACCCCAAACATTAGTTTTCAACTTTTGCTCTCCCACAGCCCTCTTCGTTATGGACTAAAACTTGCTGTATGCATGATTCTAAAATCATTCCATCATGGGCAATAAACACCGATAAATACTACAGTCTCAAATAAAACCACATATGGGAGTGCCCTAGCCATCTGGATATGGTTGTATTTCTAAATAGTAATCAAAGCTTGTCAAAAAGTCGCTGTAAGATTACAAGCATCCCCAGTGAAATTGACCCAAAAAAAAAAAAGAAGCATCCCCAATGACTGCTGCGCATTGTGTCATAGGGTGGGGAATTCTCTTGTGAAAGACCAAGGTCGAATACATACATTCCAATACAATGTTGAAAACTTTCTATTTCTTTGAATTAAAAATTGGAACTTAACAATAGAAGCTGATATATAATAGAAAAGAAAAGAATAATAGAAAGTGAAGAAAGAGAAATCAAAATATATTTACAAAATAGAAGTTCTCTTGTGCCTTAGCATTTAAGTGATAGGAAGATAGCATTTGAATGGTCTGTTCTTTTCTTTTCTTTTTACCAGCTCAAATTTTTATACTGTTGAAGACAGTTTTGGATGTTCCTGTCATTTCCATCTCAGAATGCATACTAATTCTGTACCCCTTTGTTTTAGTGAAATCACGGCTGAAGGGCGGAGAATAACGAAACTTGAACAGATTTTACTCAATGGAAACAATATTGCCATTGTAAGCAAACCTCCACTATCTTGATTTTTGTGTGGTTCCTGGCACCCTAAAATTTCCTGAATCGATAAAAATACTGTGATTCTTCTGAGCTAAGAAGGCTTCTTTGTCTTCTGCAATAATTCAGCTACCATAAATTGATAAATTTTCCTTTCATCTCCCCCATATTCTAACTAGATTCACGTTCAATGCAGCTGGTTCCTGGGGGTTCTCCTGAATGACATGCTCCCCCTAAAATGCTGCCTCTTAAGCAGCAGATATGGCAAATGGGAGACCCTAATCCCTCCATCATTGAAACTAACAGTATCAAAAGGGGTTATTTGCTGGTGTTTTATGGTCCGATGACACGAGTGTATGTTGTTTAGGGGGAGATGAATAGGTTTATCAGATCCATTCTGTGGTTTATTCACTCTTTTGGTAATGATTATATTGCTTGTCTTGAGGCTTGTAATTTTAATTTGCCTCTCTTTGAATCTTGTGAGGGAATCTAGAACCAGAATGTAGCCTTGTATTGAGAAATCTGTCTCGTAAGATAAATCAACAACTCATCTTAATGTTCGAACTGTACCTTTCTTAGAAACAGTGAAGTAACAGATTCAGCTTGGAAAATTGAAGCGTTTCGTTAATTTTACCAAATTATGCTGTTTTGGCTAAGGGGACTTTTGTTTCAATACTTTCGTGAAAAGACTGATTTTTTCTTCTTTTAGGAATATTTGAAATTATCAAGAGTTGTATTTCTGCAGCTGTTGTAAAAAATCAGAGTTTTAAGAGGATATGTGAGCTATTTGTGGTTAGTGCAGGTGCCGCTTGGGACGACTTCTGCAAAAAAAAATACTACGGAGAGAAATGATTGTTTGTTGTAGGTGTAAATTTCAATCTCTCTCTCTCTCTCTCTTCACACACACACACAGGTGCCTCACACTGAATTTTCAATATTTAAAACACAGAATTTCAAATATTTAAAAGCTGGCACCGCTCTCTTGCTAATGTAACTGATAAACCTATCCAAGATATTTAAAACACTCAGGCGAAGTAGTTCCAGACTGTTTTGATCTATACTTTCTGTAATGAATCAGAACGACCTAGAACTATTAGTTCCAGATTACTTTGATCTATGCCTATTATAAGGACTCGAAGCGGTCTGGACCTATTCGTTTAGGATGGCTTTGATAAGTATTTTTTTTAATCAAAGTGTAACAAAGCAAGACGACTGTGATTCCGTACGATGATTCATATAGCGTGTTTCACCTATTTGTTTAGGTTTTAGGAGAGCCTAGAATAAGATATTTTGATGTGAAAAATATTTTCCAGCATTCTGCACGGATAGCTAATGGTATCATTTGTTTTGCTCAGTTAAGTGGAGCCAAATCACCACAATGCCTCAAACTATTTAGGGGGTATCAGGAATATGAGGCACCTTACCTTAAGAAATCTTCTAAAGTAACTATTCTAATGCTAAATTGGTTTATTTTACCACCTTAATGCTATTATCACTGCAATGCCTCAAATTATGTAGGGTTTATCTCGAATATGAGGCACCTCACCATAAGAAATCTTCTAAAGTAACTATTGTAATGCTAAATTGGTTGATTTTATCACTTCAATGATATTTTTAGGTTGCCGTATCATTCTAGTACACTTTCCATTAAAGAGAAATATAATAAATGAAAAGGTGAAAAAAAATGAAGTCAAAATATGTATAAATCATCAAATCACTTTACAAAATCATTTAGGTAGTCCAATAATCGCATTTACCGCTGTTGGATACTTCTTTAAAATTTCCAAATTGACCTTGTTTAGGGTTGAAACTTGAATGGTCAGAGATATTTTTGGTAATTTGACAATGCTTAAGTGACTTGAGTTGAATGATATAAAAAGTGACTTTTACCTCTCTAAACTCTTAACAAAGGGGGCCATTAATATCATTTTGGCAATTCTGTGTCACTAACCCTACATAATAGTAGTCTTATCATCGTTTCACTTAGTGACATTTAAGTGGACCAAACTACGGAAATATCCCTAAATGTTTAAGTTCCCAATCTTGACAATTAAAAACTTTTCAAAAAATTATTTGAAGAGGTTCAAGAGTTTAACAACAATTTAAAAATCAAGATTTTAACTGTAAATGAGATAATTTGACCAAGGTGGTTTAACGCAATGTTGTAAGAACAATACCAAATTAGCCGGTTCCATCAGGAAACTTGTAAACCGGATGCCTGTTCGGTCCAGTGTAGCATGGTGGACCGTATGGTCCATTATTTTTTAGTATGTACTTTATACTGAAGTTTCTCATGTTTATTATATTTCATTTGGTCATTTTTAAATCCATTTAGGGGCATTTTTATCAAATTTAATTAAAGAGAAGAATAAGGTTTTGGAAAACAAAATATTAAAGAGAGAGCTCATTTGTAAAAATTTTGCTCTCACTCTGTGCCAAATATTCTAGTCCTTGGGCTTTTTCAGGCGATTTTCCAGGGTGAATTCGGTGCACCCTTGTTTAAGGCCCAACGAGGTATATAATAAATTCAACCTTTTTTTATTGTTTGATTTATTGTTGGAAAAAAAGGAAAAATTCGGATTCTTTTGTGGGTTTCTGCAGGAAATCTTATAATGAGCTTTGAATCTATTGATTATTGATTATTGATCACTCAATCTCAATCCAATGTCCATTTCTGCAGGTTCTTTTTCAGCCTTTTTTACATGAAGAAAATGCTTTTTTGTGGTTTTCTTTATATGCTTTTTTGTGTGGGTTTTTACCTGCTTTTTTTTGTGATCTCTCTCTCTCTTTCTAAGTCATTACCATTTCCTCCAAGCAAGAATTTTATGTTGTTTTACTTGTTCTAGTTTTGTATGATTGAATGAACTTTAAGGTTTCTAGTTTCAAGTTAACTTGATTTAGGGATAATTTGATATTAGGGATAATTTATATTGGGGATATTTTCTTTATAAGCTTACTATTTATGCAATATATTATGATTATTTTTCAAGAGAATAAAAAAAACCCACCATAAATGAGATTAAATAATTTAACTCTATTAAAAATTTAAAATATATCGTCCTCGCACTTTCATGTACTTGAATACCTATTTTTTAATTTTTTTGCTTTTTTTTTATTTTTATATTTGTATTTGTATTTGTATTTAATTTTTAATTTACTAATTGTTTTCATACGGTCAACTAATGCGGTTTGGCCTTCCAAACTAGACCACCCTCGCCCATCAGCATTGGTTTAAAACTTTAAACTTTTAAACTTTTTTTAACAAGGCCGAGAAACTTTTAAACGTTCAAACTGTAATTATACCCTCGATGAGGTTTTCCCTCTTAATTAGAGGCCTTCATTTCAAGACAGCGTACAAAAATGAGATAAGACTTTTGAAATTCTTCTGCAACTCTTTTTAGGGTTTTTTTTTTGAAGTCCAAAGGAACCTGACGAACCTGAATCCATGGAGTTGGGGGATTTGTACAAGGTATGGGAGATCAAGGTTCTGAAGAAGCCTGGAGAAGAGGATGCCAGAAAGTTTCTTGAGAAGGTCGCCAAACAGGTGCAGCCCATTATGCGCAAGCACAAATGGAGAGTCAAGCTTCTCTCTGAGTTTTGGTGAGATTCATTTTTCTAGTTCTAGGTTTTTTCTTCTTGATTTTATCTCTGAATCTTTTCCGTCTCTGTCACTCTTTTTCATGTATTCGTTCTTCTTTTCCCCGATTTTTACTTTTCAAGGGCATCCTTCGTATCCTCCCCCATCTCCCCAACCTCCTTTTCTCTCTCTATCTCTCTCTCTCACGCACTCACTCTCGATTCATGTGAAAGTCCTTCATCTTTTTTGATGCCTCTCTCTCTCTAATCTGGCCATGTTGCAGTCCGAAGAATTTGCTGGGGTTGAATGTAGGGGGTGGCGTGGAGGTGAGGCTAAGATTGAGGAAACCCAATAGAGAATGGGAGTTCCTTTCATTTGAGGAGGTTCTTGACACCATGCTCCATGAGCTTTGTCACAATGTACATGGCCCTCACAATGCTGATTTCTATAAGCTATGGGATGGTCTTCGACAGGTTTCTTTTTGGTCCCTACCCATTTCTAACAAATTGGATTTTTTGTTGAATTTGGCGAATTTGAGTGGTGATTTATGCATATTCTTGCCAGAGTTGGTAGGCCTTCATCGAACGAAATGTTGCTTGTGTGGTCACATTTTGAACTGTTATTTGATTCGTTGTTGCTCACATTATCACATTTTGAATGGTTAATTGTGCATTATTTAGAATTGGGTGATCTATTTGGTATTCATTGGCATTTAGGACTTCTTTTATTGTTATTTTGTTAATTTATTTTAATGTGTTACTTTTCATTTGCTTGGCTATCTTCAGTTGCTGATATTTCTACGATTTTGATTTATAATATTAAGTAGAGGAATGAGTCTTTTTTGTTTTTGGTTTTTTGGGTAGTTCAGCCGTAGACTCGAACTTGAGACGTAGCGTTGCTAATCACTCAAGCCCGAGTGCAATTCCTGGTTTAGGACTGAGTCATTCTTATTCAATTTGATTTTATTTATAGTTTCATTGGAGGCATTGTACGAGTTGTTAGAAATTCCCATTGTTGGAGAATTAGTTGCAGAAACCCTGGCCAATGATAGGGTTGTTTGGATTTTTTCTCTCTTGAGAGTTGAGGATTGATGAGGCAGAGAGGGCATTTAAGCAAATGGTAGAGAGAGGATTAAGGCCTGATGCCACAAGTTATGAGATTTTGTTGATGGTTTTGTGTGAAGGAGGATGGTTGAATGATGGGGAGAGATGGTAAGTTGAGGAAGATACAGTAAATGCTTGATTATTGTCATGGTCAGTAATCCTGAAGAGAGTGTTGAAAGGTTTAATGCATTTAGGAATCTTCTGATAGAAGATAATCTTGCCATCATATTACCTTCAATCATATGATGCGTTATTACTATCTTTGAGAAGGCATTATTTGGAGCCACCCAGATGATGGTTGTCTCCTGATGTGATACAATTAAGTAATAATGATAGTGTCTTTAAAAGCATGATGCAGAGCCTAGGCAGCCAGCGAACTCTGGCCACCTAGGCGGCTGTCTTAATATTGAGGAGGCCCAAAACAGGAGATGTAAGGTTTTTTCACTAGAATGTTGGATTTCTTGATATTTTTGTTAAAGAATGTCTCTATACGATATATATTGTGATAATACCCAAATACAATGATATTTTGAAATGAAAACTCACCTTTTTGCCTGATGTCAGATCTTCAATGTCTTGATACAATGCTTACTCTAAGGGCGTGGTTGATAACAGGAAGCAAGAACATGAACAGGAAATTGGAAGTTACTGAAAATTGTAAATTAGAAGTTACTTAAGAAGTTAATGGTTTCTGTGTTTGATAACCTCCCTAGGAAGTTAAGAAGTTCATAGTTTCTGTGTTTGATAACTCCTGGGATATGTGGTAAATATCTTATATTTATATTTACATAGATAATAATTTAAATAGAAATATATAATATTTATAACATACTATAATACATGATATATTGTATTTTATATTTATTTTTAATATAAATAAATAAATATATATATATATATATATATGAAATTATCTTATATTACATAAAATAATATAATATATTATAATATATGTTTATTATATATAATATATTATACATTGTATATATAATATATTATAATATATAATATTATAAATATCTATTTTATATATATAGATATATATATACATCATGGACAAAATAAAAAGTTCCCTTTTCAAGTTCCATGGCTTACCCATGGAACTTTACTCAAGCCTAAAGGTGGGAATAAAGGGGAGTTCTCAAATTATCTTCCACTTTTTATCAAACACATAACATGAACAGTAATAGGTAAAGTTCCTTCTTCATCTTCTAACTTCCTGTTATCAAACACGCCCTAAATGACTCTAAATGGTTCAAGTACCCATCTTCGAACTGCCTTGATTGTTTTCGCCAAGAAACTAATCCACAAAAAGCTTGGTTTTGATTTTGATTTCTTGCAAAGTTTTTTCCAATATTGAAAAAGTTGAAATTTTTTTTTATATATATATTTTCAAAACATAGTGATGATGCTGGGCACTTGCATCATGGTGGTAGCCTGGTTACGCATGGCAGATTTTTCCCCTCCCACCTCCCACTGCCTCAAACCACTTTTGAAACATGGATAATTGGAAAGAAAAAGGTAAAACCCAGAGGCTATTTCCCATTTGGTGTAATGATAAATACGAGAATGTCAGGTTTTGACTAATTTCCTAAAAAAGACAGCTGACAGGAAGGATAAATGAGTGCAAGTTGTCTTACTTGCCGGTCCTTCAAATTCCAATTGAAAGTGAACTAGAGATTCGTTATGAACAGACAATGTGGCTTGGCTAATTATCTCGGTAGACCAGCAGGGCAAACAATTTGAAGTATTCACATCACAGTAGTAGTGTAAAGACCGTAAGTGGGATGATAGCAATAAATAAGGAAAGGAAGGCCTCTAACATATTTTCCCTGAGATGCTTCGGAACTGAATTTTTGTCAACAGGTTCTTTACCTCTATTTTACCCACGTAATAACTGCTGAAGCAATCACTTTTGTAACCTTACACATAGTTTGGCTGCAAGATAAATTTTGCGCAACGTGTCTTGAGTTCCAACAAAATGTTGCATTTTGCAAGTGGGATGAAAACTAGCATTTTACTTTTCTTCTCATCAAGAAAAAGGTGTCCTTTTTGGTGTGTGCCCAGATGTAAGTGCGACCACAAACTTGGCATGACCTAAAATGCCCCCCAACAGCGCCATAGCATTTTTTGGGGCAGTGTCCAGATGAGCGGTTAAGGTGCCAGTTTTAGATGACCTTTTACCTAAGATTGGTTTCAATAACCTTAGAATGAGATGTTAAAACTTTCTTGGAAAGGGGTAGGTCATATGGTGAAATAAATCACAAACCAGGGCATCTAAAAGCTGTGGATGTTACTGTTCTCATGTCAATGTAATATCTTGAATCCTTTCTGAGCACTTTTCCAACTCCAATATGCTGGATTGGCAGATTCAATCGGTTATAGATACCATGTCAGGTGCTTGTATTTTACAATGTGATTCCATGCATATCTATTGGTTCAAGCAATATTCAACCAAACAAAACAATTCTACATAAGTGATGACTTCCCCGACCAACTGTACTCAATTGAATGCAATCTACTTATACAAATCCGACATGTCATACATTCATACCTATTGAAGCAAGTTCGTTCGTTAATTCTAAATATTTTTTTAAATCCAAAAGAATCTAAATCTTTCAAAATGTTTGTAAAAGAAAAATAAATCGGGTGCTAGTTTTTACATTTAGTCTTTGCAAAACATGCCCATCTATACTATTCAGACCCATCATTTACTAATCTCCAAACAGTATCAATCGTGCATATGGTGTTGTAACTTAAAATACTGGGCACAGAAACTAGCTCCCAATGTAATTTTTAAAAATTTGTTGGGTAATCTATACCAAATTTAGTATGTGGTTTGATTATTTTGAATTTGTAATAGGACTTGGGCTTGATTGGTTAGTTGTTAATGATTGTTGTGCTACACCTCAAGTTTGATTCCTATTGCTGACACTTCCTTAAACAGTTGAATTTTTTTTGCTTGAGAATGTTGATTTTGAAAGTTTTTTGTGCCAGTCGTAAATGTTGCCCTACTGACCATAACTAATGTGGTTAGGAAATAGGGGTTCCTTTATTTCTTACAGTTACTTTGGTCATTTGTGTTTTTGGAGATTATATGTGTAAATTAGGGAGTAATTAGGATTAGGCTTCCTGTGAGTCTTTAAGGTAGTTATTAGGGTTTTATTTTCTTATAAATATATGTATTATATTTTGTAAAGACTGAAGAATTGAGTTTTTTGGTCTTGTGAAAAGTTCGCTTGGGATAGATTCTCTTGCAGGCCTAGAGAGAGGCCAAGTCTCTCACTAGGGTGGATTCCATTGCAAACCTAGAGACCGTATGTTCTCTCATTTTTTTTATTTATCTTCCTTCTCTCTTCCTCTCTTCATCAAGTAGTATTGAGCTTCAGAAGATCCCTGCATGACGGTGCCTCCAAAGCCCACCCCTGCATCACGGTGCAATTGAGGATATGTCGCAATATTTCATAGAGAATGTAAATCAACAAATCAAGGAGAGTATGAATCAGGCCTTGAAGCATTTGAGAGGACTTTCAAGTACGCCTGTGAATTTAATAAGTGATGGCAAAAAAAGGGTTGTCATTCGTGAAGAGGCTGATTATAATCTGATAGATCCGGCAGCAAGCTTCAACCTTTGAGATTACACCACTAAACTTAAATATGTAAATCTGAATGCTGATGAGATAAACTAAACACCACCGTATCCTAATAGTAAGATATGAAATATGATCCATTAAGGGCGAGATGGACCTGCATTATCGTTGTAGAGTTTTCAAATTTTCATAAGCTTCAAAGTAATTGTTCTATTGATTGGAAAATTATGACGGGAAGAGTGCCATCTGCCAAGACAAAATGTAGGGCTATGCCACCAATTATTGGAGAGGTCTTTGAAGGATGTGATGAATTCAATAAAGCTTGAGGTAGAGCTTTTCCCAAACCTGGAATTTGTGAATATGATGTGGGAACTAGGTTTTCATTTATCTTTCAGGGTGATTGTGGGCGTTTGTGTTTATAGCTAATTTAGAAGTAAAATAGGATCTTAAGTAAATAGGATTAGGTTTCATGTGAGTCAAGTTAGTTTTTCAGGTCTTCTTTTCTTATAACTATATGTACATTGTTTCATAAATAGAGAGAGAGAAATTGATGTTCAAGTAATGTGACGAGATCTGTTGAGGAAGATTCCTTCCTGGCGTAGAGGGTGGACCATATCTCTCAATTTTGGGGTGTGTATACCCTTCTAGGCTTAGAGAGAGGTGTATTCTCTCCTTTTGTTGTTTTATTTTCTGGTTTTTTTATGTTTTTTTGTCTCCTACTTGCACACTATCTGACCTCAAATGGCTCAAAAACATATTGTTGTAGTCGATCACTTTCTCCATTTGTCATCACGCTAATCTGGCAGTGGTTCAACGGTGGTTTGTTTGGTTGACAAGCACAAAAACAACAGTTTCAATAATATGGATAGAGAGTTAGTGTATTTCAAACGTCATTCTTGATCTTCTTGAATTTTTTCATCATCTATTATTGTGTTCATATTATTTTCCTTTTATATGAATAGAGAATTAGTGTATTTCAAAAGTCATTCTTGATCTTCTTGATTCTTTTCATCATCTGTTATTGTGTTCATATTATTTTCCTTTCAGAGCAAGCTATTGAACAGCTGATGGTAATAATTATTTGTTTAAGGAGCGGAATACTTGGGCTCAAATACGTTAATTTTTTATTTCAATTTTGAAATGAATATATAAGAATAAATGCCTTAGAATGAAGGTCTTTATGTTTTGCGTTGGTACCTTGGGATGTGTAAGGACCATGAAGAGCTCAGGAAAGTTCATTAATGGAAATTAAGGTCCCTCTTGTTTTTTCTTATGAGACCAATATAGTACTAGAATAGAGATGTCCTTGTTTTCACCTTTCTCTTGTATTATCTAGGAACCTTTCATGCTGTAACTGAAGCTTCAGGAGTGTGTAACTATTGCTGGAAATTTTGAGACTAAGTAAATGAAGTTCATGCCTCCTTACTATCTTCTTTGGTGTGCTTGGGTGTTTTAAGCCACTTAGAATGTGTCCTATTTTTGCAAGCCACTCAAATTTTAGAAAAAACTTTGTCTAGGTTCAGATAATCCCGGTACCCCCATGTGCTATCTAAAATCTTGTCAGAGGTTCATTGGCCATAAGTACTTACGCAGAAAGCACTCTCACTGAAGTAGACCCAATTTCAAATCTTCTCGAGTACCTTCTACCACTGCGTACGAGTCATTACTCTTCTGTGCCTTGTTCTTAAAGACCCAATTAATTCTCTCTCTCTCTCTCTCTCTCTCATGTAGGAATGTGATGAACTAATGGCAAAAGGGATAACTGGTAGTGGCCAGGGATTTGATCTTCCCGGAAAACGGCTTGGTGGGTTTTCTCGTAATCCCCCTCTTCCTGCTCTTCGACAAACTGCATTAGCTGCCGCTGAGAAAAGAGCACGCCTCGAAGCCTTATTGCCATCTGGGCCTAAGCGTCTTGGTGGTGATGGCGATATTATGAGTGCACTTAGTCCAATTCAAGCAGCTGCCATGGCTGCAGAAAGGAGATTACAGGATGATTTATGGTGTGGTTCTGTAAATAGTGTGGAGGCAAATGATGATAATTCACTAGGCCAGCCCGTTGGGTTCTCAAAGGTTGATTATGGCAACAAGAATGGTGTATCTCATGATTCTCACAGTAATGGGAAAGTTGGTATATCTGGTAGTTCGGAGTTGCCATCTAGTTCTAGTGGTGAAGGTTTGAGGTCTAAGCCACCCCCCATTTCTCAATTGAAAGATTCAAGGGAGGAGGCGCCTATATGGGAATGTGGTGCATGTACTCTTTTCAATCAGGTGACACCGTCTTTCGTTGCTTTGATTCATTGGTAGTTTTTCTCTTTTTGAGATTTCTCGTTGAGTAGATATCAAAGGAGATTTCTCAATTTTTTGATTTATATTGAATGAGAGAGAAAAAGGAAATTTCTCACAGAACTTGGAACGGTCTAAAAGTTGGAATTTTTGAAGTGGGGAAAAAAGAAAAAAGAAAAGGGAACAATGCTATTGTTTGCCATATATGTCTAATTGTTGTTTCTAGAGTTCCTTGAGTCCCTGTGAGATGCAATTGGAAAGCTAAACTTTCCCCACACAGGTTATATTTGTACCTTCCATATAGTTACTTTCTTTTACTTTGACATTTGCTTCTTGAGTTGAGCATGGTGGTGGTTGTGGCTGCAGCCGTTGGCTCTGTTGTGTGAAGCATGTGGTTCCCAAAGGCCTAGAGATACTGGAGTCAAATACAAGATATGGTCGTGTAAATTTTGTACGCTAGAGAATGAAGTTCGGTTGGATAAATGCTTGGCTTGTGGGCAGTGGAGATATTCATATGGTCCTCCAGTATTCACTCCAGCTCCTAATGTAGGTACATGAAAAGGCCCATGTCAAGAAGGAGAACTTTGGATCAGTTTATGAGAGATCCAACACTATCACTATTTAATATCTAGTGGTTTAGATTAAGCTGAAAGTGTATGTACATATATTACATAGATACAAAAACTGATGGTCATAGAACCACAGGTAGCATTCTTCTGGTGTTTGTGAACCTCTGAAAGGTTGTTAATATGAAGAGAATACTCTTATTAGAGGTATGGGTTTTCTCTTATATATTATCTGCCTTATATTTATCTTTGAATAATTCTGATTATTATGGGTTCATATGAAATAGGGTATGATGGGGCTGTGGTTCTGAATGCCATTTAAGGTGAAGTTTGAGACCAAGGACATGCGTGTTTGGTTTAAAAAATGGGCCTAAATAATGCTATGGATTGAAACTTAGTTGCAGTTTGGTCTTCTTTGGTATATATTTATTAGAATTAACAAAGGCCTTGCTCCGGAAAATTGTGTATCTTCTTTTCTAGTCGTCGAAAATTTTTAGTTATAGTTGCTTAGTGAAACCGAACAGGTTCAGGATTCTCTCTCTCTCTTTTTCTTTTTTTTCTCCTTTACTTCGTTTTTTTTTTTTTTGGGGGGGGGGGGGCTTTATGCCTTGTAATGCCTACAAGGTTTCCATACTTGGTTCGGTTGGAACTCAGCCACTGACCTTGCTGTGTTACTTGGGCAAGTCCAAGTTGACTTACCCTAGTCCCCTCTGAGCTTGGAAATGGAAGAAGCCAAAAAGGTTAAAAAAGTGAAAAATTTATATAGGGCCAAGGCTCTAAACAATCAAATTAGAGCCTGCCTCAGAAATTTTACTAGAAGTGGTTGTTTTGATGCTCAAATGTCCTCAAATTGATCATCTCGGCATCAAGATGCATGAGCATGAGAAAAAAATAGATTTCAAGTCTTGGAAATAATACATCTTGTAACGCATTTTGGATCTATCAATTTTCAAATTTTCATAGATATGCTCGATCTACATTATTTTTTAAACGTTAAATTTTATAAGTAAAGATGAAAATATATTTTAAAGTTATCACAGAGAGTTTTAGTATTAAAACCACAATTCTCGACACTATTTGAAGGTGTGCTTACTTTGATTGTTTAGATCTGGGCAAATTGCACCCTTAAAAAAATGGAAAAACTTCTTTAGAAATATGTTAAAACATTAAAAAGAAAAAGAGAAAAGCGTAACGAACAGAAAATGTATATAAAACATGAGAGAGTTTTGGAGAAAAAAGAAATTTCTTTAGAGATATTTTTCCTAGAGAAATGAGAAAAATATAAATAACATGATAAAACCTTTAAAAAGTATGACCAAAACGAAATATAAGTCATATATAATTGATTTAAAATTTTAAGTACGGTACAAAACTATTTAAGGACCGTAAACTATACCATCATCATAGCTTTTCTTTATTATGTGGGTCGGTTAGTATACTATATCACCATTCACTTTTAATACAAGGAGGTTACAATCACCTTAGATGTGAATTCCAAAAGCTTGAGTCTCTTACAAAGTTCAAACAATTTAGTTATTTTAAGTTATGAGCCCAATCAAATGCCCTCAGCCATCCAATTTCACGATCAATAGTATTTGTGACCTCCTTATGTTAAAAAAGTAAATGGCCTTATTATATGCTTTTTTAAATATTAATTCATTTAGGTACCGCATCTTTTTCTTTTTTTAAGTTTTGATTTGGGGGACGTGGGGATGGGCAGTTGGGGTTGGGCAAGGCAATGAGCTGCGCCAAAGTACTTGGCTTACTCATGTTAATTCATTTAGGTACCCCATCGTTTTCTTTTCTTTTTCTTTTTCTTCTTTTTTTTTTTTTTTTTTTTTTTTTTTTTTTTTTAAGGTGGACGTGGGGATGGACAAGGCAATGAGCTGCGCCAAAGTCACTTGGGCTGAGTCCGAATCGACACACCTAAGTAATGGAACATTGGTTTGTTATATTGCACACAATTGGGTCATCCACTGTTTGAGAACTTAATGGACGGTAGAGATTCACTATACTGAAGAGGAAGGCTGAAATTGGAAATCATGGTTGATGCCCTCTATCCATTTTGAGAAAGGCTGGTGGATGTGTATTGTATGCCACACAGGCCGTATGGCATGCACTGCCTTAAATAGATTGATCCCTACCTGGACCGAGTGGCCTCAACTAACTGCTTTTGCCGGTTCAAAGCAGACGATGGTCTTATTCAATGGGAGAAATGCTTGGTTAAACAATCTAACTGCCTCGGTTGCTGGTTCAGTTCCCATGATTTTGTTAGTTCTTTTTATCTGATATCTTTACAACCCGTTAGAGAGAGGTGCATGAGCTCTTAACTTTCCAATCACAAATTCTTGAATGTCAACAATTCATACAGGAGGAATACCCTTATCTGTTGGACAACTGAATTGAGCACATGAATTTATGTATAGTTTGGGGATCTGCTTATTCTCAAATGAGGTTACTCAGGTTATGTGGCGAAAACCTCGTAAACCAGAAAACCAGTCGAAATTTCTAGAAGAGATGATCTGTGTTTAAAAATCGAGAGAAACCTCTCATAAAATTTTCTTGGTTTCATGGATTTTATTTTGTGTTTTGCTCAATGTAAAGGATTTTGCGCTTTGGTTTTTTTTTTTTTGGGTGAGACAGTAGGGAGAGGCCCTGTATGATAGGAATTGAGCCTAGAATGCAATGTTGCAAATCGTCAATCGCTAACCAATTTAATCCAAGCGCATGTGATTATTCCTATGTAACGAGATTCTTAAATTTGACCCTGCAACCATTATCACTAAATCAGTAAGACAAGCTTAAGATATTGTACTGAGCAACTATTTTACTATTGGAAAAAGTTTATTAAGGATGCTACCTTATAATGTAGAACTACAGATGCCCATAAAAAATCCATCGGAAACGGTAGTTTTAATGTTGAAAAACCCTTTAATCGATCATCTCGACACCGGGATATATGACTATGAAAAATAAAAAGATTTTAAGTCTCAGAAATAGTGTATTTTACAACATATTATCTACACCGTCCATTTTCAAGATTTTCATATGTTTATAAATCTACTTGATTTTAACCATTTTTGAAATATATTTATAATGAGATAAAAATAGATTTTGAGATAATCCTAAGAACATTTTACATCAAAATTATATACCATGATAAAATTTGAAGGTTCACCTTACCTCTCTACAGCTACGGATGCGTCGGTATTCAAGCTGCACCCTTTAATGGAAAAGTCTATGCTGTATTCCCCAATGCACATATTCGAATGCGGTCCCCTTTTAAAACTCTTAGCGATGTTTTTAGGGAATTATATGTTATTATAACTGCATTTGTTCTTTGGATCCATGATTTTGCAGCTCAAAAAATAGTGGAGATTTGATGATCATGGATAACTAAGATGAAGTTTAAATGGTTTGAAAAACAAAGTTTAAAATGGTCTATTTTACTATTCAAAATCTATTTTTTAGTGGGACTGTCTACAAAGTGAACATTTATCTTTTGTACATTGAGGTCATAATCATTCTAGTTCCTTCAATTTCAAAATGAGTGGTTATAAGAATGTCATTGAATAGACAAAGTTCTTAAAAAAAAGTTTTTCTAACTTTGTGACTCACCCCAAACATTCTAATTTGATCACTAATGAGTGGGAATGGTTATGATATAGAAAAGATAAATGGTCTCTTTGTAGACAATCCCCCTTTATGATAGATCTAGGTGGTTGGATCTTATTTATTGGTGAAATTCTAACTCCAAAACCAGTTTTTAAGAGAGATTTTTGAAAGAAGCCTGTATTTGAATAGGTAAGTTTGCTGACCCACCAAATCCCCATCCTTTTTATACTGGTGATCACACATCAAATCTCGGACTCCTTGTTCTCTAAATTAGTTTTGTATTCTCATAAACTTTCTCAACAAGAACATAAAAAAAAAAATGAAGAATAAAAGAAAATGTGTGAAATATTGATAAAAGGAAAGAAAATATAAAGCAATTGTTAAAACTCTTGTGGGAATCTTTGCCATATTTATGTGTTCTTTGAGAAGGCATCGGGATTTCTTTTTTCCTTGATCAGCAAGGGAAATGAATTTAGGAAATATCTAAATGAAAAATTCGTAAAACATGGGAGGAGATTAACGGGAGAAAAAATTGTAAAATAAGATTAACAAAAATCAGGTCAATTGAAGAAAGGAACTGACATTGAGGGGCTGGATTTTACCTACTGCGATGCATGCGTCTCTTCACGATTTGCGATTTGGGCAAAAAATTGATCTGTTTAAAGTTTTAAACAAATACGATTATTAATTCAGCATTAATTTTAAGGCATGGCCATCACTTTCTCCCTCAGATATTTGATCTGTTTAAAGAAATGTGATAATGAAATTGGACAGCACGTCCGACGATAAAATTCGCAGTGCCGAGATTCCAAGCTCGAGTCCTATGCCGGAGATTTGCCCACAGAGTTATGGGAAAAGAAAAAAAAAAATATCATTAATTTTAAGGCATTGCCATCATTTTCTCCCTACATTGTCTGGTACCTTCCTGTTTTAATTAATGGAGGAAATACATAATTAATTAGCATAGAGAAACCGCCAGCTTAGGAATGGGTAGGTGATTAGGGTGGTGGGACACCAGAAAGTGAGTTCCATCCCTGCAATGGGCTCGGACCCATTCCCTCTTGAACTACCCCCTACTTAACACATAGGGGTACCAATCCAGGTCTCTAAGACCTCCTGTTTTTCTACCGATTTTCACTGGTTTTTCTTTACTTTCTTTTTCAATAAAAAAAACTTCGACAATTGCAAAGCCTTGTTGGAAGCTGTGGACGACCCACTGGTTCGATTTTTAAAACGCAGAGAGAGATCATCGTTAATAATTTACACTTTCCCCTCCATGGTTTTACAATTTAAGTGCAACAGGAAAGTTTACCTTTCAAGGAAGAATTTTTAGCATGATACTTGTAACATCCGTCAAAGGCTTGCAAATTGGTCGGGTCTGAGTCGGGTCAACACATCAGATGAGGGGATGGATAATATGTTTTAAAATGTAGTATTTCTAAGACTTAAAATCTTTTTATTTTTCATAATCATATATCTCGATTTCGAGATGATCAATCAAAGGGAATTTCAACATTAAAAATACCTTTTCCGATGGATTTTTGTGGGGCATCCGTAGTTCTACATTATAAGATAGCATCCTTATATAAACGTTT